CTCGCCTACTTTGTTTGACCTTTTGCCCAACGAGCTTGTGTGGCACCTGGCAACAGAGTCAGGTGGTTTTGGCGTGGTGGCACGCCTTGCGACGACCTGCAGACGCATAGCCGCAGCTTGCGCAGACGACCGCCTGTGGCGCTGTTTGTATGCGCGGCATTTTGGGCTACCAACCAGCCTGGGCCACATCACCGCGGGCAAAGATTGGCGCTGGCTCTGCCAGGTGCACGCGCGTCCACCTATCGTCGCCTCCACCGCCGACTATGGAGCGCCGTGGAATTATTGGGGTGAAACACGCGACGGCATCGCTCACGGCTACGGCGTTGCCGAGCGCGAGAACTCCATGCCGGTCGTCAATGACAGCGGAGCCGATATGCCAGCGTGTGATGTTGGTGGATGTGCCCCGCTGGCCAGGCCCGTGCCTTCCGTGGTGACTAAGGAGGCCCACGAGGGCAACTGGGTCGACGGCAAGCCGCATGGTCGCGGTGCGTGGACGTGCAGCGACGGCAGTTCGTACGTCGGCTCGTTCAAGGCCAATCTGTTTGACGGCATTGGGATGTACGTCTATCCTGACGGCTCGATGTATCATGGCTGCTGGATCGACAACAAACGCCATGGTGTCGGCGTCGGTGTGAGCAAGTCCACGGGACATGGGCACCTACTCGGGACAGTGGACCGATGACAAGCGGAACGGGATCGGCACGCGCATTCTGCCCAACGGTGTCTGTTACTCGGGCAAGTGGCACGATAACCAGCCGCACGGTCTCGGCGCGCTCACTCCCGCTGGCGAGCCAGACGATGCCCGCAGCTGGCGTTATGAGGGTGAATGGATGTACGGCAACATGCACGGACAGGGTTCATGGGCGTGCGACGGCTGCACATATATTGGGTCTTTTGTAAGGGACCAGTTTCACGGCGTCGGCACCTACACACAGTCTGACGGCATGCGCTACGAAGGGGAGTGGATATGCGGCAACATGCACGGGCAAGGTTCGTGGACGTGGGACGGCAACACGTACGTCGGAGCTTTCAAAGACGACGAGTTTCACGGCGTCGGTATCTACACGCAGCTCGATGGCATGCGCTACGAAGGCGAATGGAAACAAGATGCCCGACACGGCCACGGGATTGAATCCTACATAAACAAAAGCCGCTACAAGGGCGAATGGCGTGACAACATGCGAAACGGAGTGGGTACGTTCATGTGGGTTGACGGCAGCCACTACCGAGGCGAGTGGAAATACAACAATCGACATGGCCGCGGAATCGAATCGTGTGTAAGCGGCCGCCGCTACGATGGGGAATGGCAACACGATGCGGCACACGGAGTGGGTATGGTCACGTGGGTGGACAATAGCCGCTACACGGGCGAATGGCAGAACGACAAACGGCACGGCCGCGGCAGCAAAATATATCCAGACGGCAGCCGCTACGAGGGCGAATGGCAGGCTGACCTGCCTCACGGAGTGGGTACGCTCACATGGGCGGACGGCAGCCGCTACACAGGCGAATGGCGCGACGACTTGCCCCACAGCGTAGGCACCTACATCGACCCCATCGGTGTCACAATCCTGTGCTCTTGGTACGACGGCCGACAACACGGCAGCGGAACCATCACGTATGGAGACGGCTCTCAGTGCGAGGCGGCATGGTGCAAAGGCCGGCAAACCGCTGCTGTAGTAGTTGCGCACGCTTCACCGGGTGCCGCCGAATGCGTTTGCGACTGCCAAGCATGCGCGACCAAGCGCAAACTCTCTTTGTGAGACAGATGTTGTCGTCCGCGTGCACACGCACCGTGCAGCCGGAGCTACTGTTTGCTGCAA